GTACCAAAACTAGGACAGAAGAAAACAGCATCTGTGAATATCAGTTCAAATGTATACACACTAACGTTTGCTCATGCGCTTAAAGTCTCCGTAATTTTGGCGCACCCTGTATAAAACGATGATCTGTTGTAGGGCCTCCATCAAGCAATCTTAGCGACGAAAAACTGCTGAGGTGCGACGTATGCAAAACGCCCTTAATTTCCCTCCACCCGTGTATGCATACTCGCGGAACAACCACGACTACTGCATTTTTGCTTTTTTAGAACTGTAGCATGCTCGGTCTAGGCGACTTGGAAACGTTGTGGCTTCATTTGCCCATACTTACATTACTAACAAGGCGCGAACAAATGTTTCGTTGTACTGGTGGAACCTTTGACCCCTGAAGCAGAAGAAAATGTCGAAACTTCCTCGAGTTTCCAAATATTAGGTTGTAAGGAAAACTCTTACCGTTTTGGACTATGGAGTTCAAATCTGCGTATTTCGACTGAAACACAACATTTTCGTTCGTAGTAAAAAGCATTACAATCCACTCGCTAACACATTAACCGAGTCGGCTCAATCCGTTACCTAAAAGTACTGGAGTTCTAGACGCGAGAAACTCGGCGGAGGTGGTTTCATGTCAGATTTTGTGGTATTTCTCATTGCAGGTGCTATCTAGGCGGTTGAAAAGGTAGCAAGTAAGTAGAAAAGAGGTCCAGTGAGTTATACGGTCTTCGCGCTAGTGCATTGCAAAGAAGAGTCGCCTTCTTTCTGGCAGCCCTTGCTGAGCGCATGTGTCGAGTCGTGAGGGTATTTTGACATAATGTAACGAACACTGTCCCACTGTAATGGTTCCGTCTACTCCCGGAGAGATGCACCTGCTGCAGACCGCAAAACAGACAGCACAACCTTTTTCCAGTGCAGTTTCACCTTCGCGAAGTGTTGTTGAACTTACCATTAGTCGTGACGAATCTCTCAGATGAGGCTCTCGGGTTGTTGAAGACGAATCCATTCGACATTGTGCTTCACAATTCGAATTCGTCTTCTTTGCAGTTAAAGAAGGTAGGAGAAGGGCTCATGGCTCTACGGTACCGCCCGTTTTGCGACACTCCCTTATCGATTTTTCTCTGACTTTTCACACCTATGTATCACCTGTATCACCTGTCGTCCCGTTGATCATCGAATTGCTCGAGCGGGCGCCAGCAACGTCTCCATTCGTCCCTGTCGCGTGCAAGAGTTGTCCAGTGGACCCTCCTCGCTCGAGGGACACGATGTCCTTCATTCCTTTCGTTCAGAGCTTTCGTGAAGAAGTCTGACCATCGGGCCGGCGGTCGTCCAGGTGTTCGTTTGACGTCATACCGAATCCTATAACGGCTTGAAACCACAAAATATTTATGCCTGATTCAGCAGTGGCCTTTCCAACACTTTTAAGCTAATTTGGTACCATTGACTATTCCAGTGAATTTCTGCAAGTGTTCGATATCCAACGACCACCGTCATCACCTTCGAGGCGCCGCCGATCTCCATAGAGCCAATCAAATCTGGCACTATGGATCAGCAGTCTTTTTGAGGGTCAATTTCAATATAACAGACTATGCTGTCTTCCTTTATTTTGTAGAAGTAGAAAATATTATGCAGGTTGGGCGTGTTTTATGATATGTATTCTCAAGATGAAGAGGGATATAGCTAGTGCGGCGGAGCGAGCAGCTGACTAGAGGTAGCGCTATCCATCGCCACTAGACCAAAAATCGCGCTTCCTATTTGTTGCGAAATGTGGCGTGGCTGTCAAAAATTTCAGTCAAAAATGTTCCTTAAGGAGGAATTCACGATTAGAATGAAGGTCGAAGAAAGGGAAACTGACCTAGTTGAGGGACCCACGGACCTCCTGAGGGTGCGAACTGACGCGCAATTCGCATGGAAAAATTTGACCTCGGCGACCTATCATGCCTCAAAGCTGGCGGGTCCGGCGATCTCCGCCCACCGATCATCTGATCACTCGCCGTAGTTCAATACGTGGCGAGTGATTAGATAGCTGAGAGAGCGTAGTGTTGAAGAGGGCACAGCGATGAGAGTCGCATCAATGCTCGAATCAACGGGCAAGGAAGGGGTCCCATTTCTCGGGTTCTGGGCCGTTTCTCATGGTTCTTCCTTCTTTCGTGTACCACTCACCATCCCTAGGTTAATTTGAAATGGGTTGCTTTTTCATCGTGAATTCGTCCTTTAAATCTTGAACTGCAGAAAACGGCAAAACTTTTCTTGCAACCTAATATTTGCAGGATTTTCTCTCCAGTGATATCCGAGTATCACAGCAAATTGCACGCACAAGGGGGAGAACTGCCCTTTCTCGGAGCCTCAATAGAGCGTGCTCGTCCTTTTCAATAAGTACGGCATAACCTGACCGCTCTCGCAAATCGAAGATGCAGTTAACCCATGTGATTCTAGCAACGGCTATATGCAGACACGCTATATAGGCACACCCAGCATCATAATATACGTAAGCAAGTAGCAAACTTTTCTCTATTCGTCTTCCAAGGACAAGTTGGGAGTCGTCTGGCGACGCACGGTCATCATTTATATTTCTGGGGAAAAAATGGATACAGGTGCCACTCGCACATCGATGATCGGCGACGTCATCCATTCCACAGGAGTAACGTTTGTCCAATTCAGCCACGCCCATCAACAAATTCCATGGTGTAACAATTCCTTCCGCGCCCGTCTCATGGGCCTATGTCCAACTGCTGAGGGCAGACTACATCCGGAAGTTCTATATTTACGCGTCATATGCCTTGCATGACAATCTTCCACGCAACTTACTTCAAAACCTGATCTTGATTACGTTTATTCGACTAATACTGCAATCGCCGACTGGGTATATAGCTCTGCCTCGTTGTGGGCTTGACCATAGCAGCATGAATTCTGAGCCGTGGTGCAGCTTTTTACACCTTTGTTCATCGTATAGCAAATCTCAAGGTTTTGTCGACTCCAGCCATGAAAGTTTACTATTTTGACAGGTAAAAGGCAAAATAATGTATCCTGCAATGAGCGGCGATTCGAAGAAAACAAGAAGTTCTCGTCGGCCGTTATCACATAAAATCGTTCTTCTAAGTCCAAGAAACTTAACTTGCTTGAAAAACTTACATGCTCAACCAGCTCGCTGGTTGATCGTCCTTCCTAGAACGCGAACAGTAATTCCACAATTCATCCCAACCGGTTCTTGTCAATTGGAAATTATCAACTCGTGAACATTTGAGAGACTTTCACGAGAGAGAAATCTTCTGCATTTTTCTACACAAGCAGGACCTTACAGCTCGCAGGGAATGGTCGAAGATGCCTTTGCGTACTTCGAGACAACAAAAGCTAGAAGAACCGAGATTGCCATGTTATCCTGGGAAACGCGCAAATCCTGTAAGCAGCGATTCTCCAAGTACACGATTGATCCAGAATAAAGCTAGTTCATGATTTCTGTAAAATCAGCTTATTGTTAGATCAACGTAGCTCCTTGACGACACCAATGTGCACCTCTACTCTCTTAACACAAATTTTTCATGCATAGTTATTACTTCACCAAATACATCATTATTGGCAATAAGTATGCTATTTGCAGTATTGGATAATACATATTAAGCTTAGCAGCATGAAAGTGAAGGAGCATGAACTTTTCAATCCAATCAGCTTAACCCGAGCGAAAGCGAGGCAAGTATGTATGAATGGATCCGACGCTGCCGTCGATGTGTTAAAGGCAAAGTTCGGGCTCAGACCCACCTAAGAAAGCCCTTAACCATGGCTAGAAGTGCTGGGCACCCAAGTGCAAAGTTAGCGCCACCTTTCTACATCGAAACCCGTCACCAGGACCCTAGGCGCCGTGAACTTCAACAGACTCCACCAAACATAACATGGTCCGCCCACCGATCGATGTCTTGTCTGCGTCGCTGCGTTGATCTGCTATGCTCTCTCTTCTCGGAATTCTCTACCACCCTCTGCGCTCACATTATCTCTCATCTCCCTCCCTGTCTTTTGAACTTCTCCACAGCATTGAGCAAAATGCTCGTATTTCCTGTGCATTTCAGGATTTTCTTTCCTTTTTTCTCCACTGGCGGTCCACCTCTCATCCCTACTTTCACATTTGAGTGGAATCAACCCATCAATGTAATCCTGATTCTTGCCTTTAAGGCAAAACCCGCAGAAGTCGAATTTATGTGTGGTCATGTTTGGAGTGGTAACAAAGAAGGTATGTAGTGCCAACGCGTAAGCAAAAACCGAGCAAAACGAAGGCCGAGCCGAAAATTGAACTTTCTCCTGAAAGCAGCGAAGCACTGTAGCATCTGATCGTGGGGGGAGGGGGGGGGGTTCCATGGCGTTATCAGAGCCGAGGATTATCAAGGCAATGTCGGGTCCCAGCTTTTAGGTTTCTCGTAAGAAGAATGCAGAAGTCGAGGCCCATTTCTTAGGAGCGATAAAATCCTTTTTGCGGCGCAAAGAGGGGGTACATCCTTACGCCTTGGCATCCGTCTTGTTCGGCCACGGCGCCAGGTTGGCAATGCTCTGAGGTTGCGTACCACTCTACACCCTTTGTTTCATATTTTACCATTATTTCGCCCAAGGACATCATTTTGGTCGGAAATCTCAGACTTCTCTGTGATAGGTATTTTCGGGTTATCTTGAAGGTATTTGCATGTCCTAGGGGAGGGGGGGGGAGGGCACGAAGCTCTGAATAACACTAGTGAATGGTACTCCTATTGTTTTTTTTTTTTTTTTCTTAATTTGATTTCATAGGCTTCATACTTTCTTCGATCTGACCATTGAACTGATTTACCTCAGTATTTCTTTAATGATTCTTACCTTTTCTAACGAGGAGTGCAAACAGCTATTTTCAATAATCGCCAGTGCAAGCCTTTGAACACTCTCCTATTATTTTTAGTCGTTCGTGCTGTTTACGTACCCGCTGTTCCGTGATTATCTTAGCGATTCATCTACTGACTCATCTACTGTCGACTATTTTTAGACAACAATGATCGGGATCCATGAACTGCGGCTCCGATTCGTCGGTAGAGTTCTACGCGAGCAACCGGCAAAGCTCTCTCTATGAGCGCAAGGTTTCTAAAGATAGCAGAACGTGAGCTGAACGTTTTTTCATTATTCATCTGAGAAATTCTTCCAATCAATAAGGGCAGTGCTGAGTGATGTCCGTAAGATGAACTGCTGCTGAGGTTTTTTTTTTCTGTGCGAAAATTAACTCTGTGCTCATTTGGAGCTTCGGGAAAGACAGTAGCAGTTGTTAGAAGGGTGTCCAGCACAACTTCAAGCCATGCCAGATATAATTCTGGTGTGCTTAAGGCTGAGCTGGACTGGACTATATGGTACCTATCACTTCCGTGGTCTTCAGCACAACCCCGGGAGCATGCCATGGTGGAGCCGACGTAGAGAGTAACCTGGCTATATTCCCCTTTCCATTCGGTGAAGCTAAAAAGTTCCAAATCAACACCCAGAAGTGATGTCAGCGCTTTCTTAAGTGTTAAATTCTTTCAAAAGTTAATCTTGTTCTGACGCCCAACGGCTGTGAACGACGAAGCAATGCTAATACCCTTGACTGATCGATGACGCTTGGATGTAGCCCGAAAGTCGCTCATCGTCGTAGCAGACGCTCCCGGAAGGCAGTCTTGAGTTGAGAAACACACCAACAATAAGTGCGTGACGGACGAATCGTCAAGGACCAGTGTATACATATCTTTGTTTCTGCGCTCTTATAGAGAAGAAGCTTTCCCAGTATTTTGTTACTGGGGACGGTGGCTGAGTTTAGGATGCCAGCCATACGTGGGGTTACAAGTGGTGTCCCTGGAAAAAACACCTCAATACAGCCAGAAAGAGACCAAAGAAAATGGCTTCGCTCCGTTGTGAGTGGGATTCTTAAGGGAAACTATTTATATTTGGAGGTGGCCCATTGGATCTCACCATTCTACAAGGAGGTCATCATCGACGTCAAGAGAGGGGTCCGACAGGGCGACACCATCTCGCCCAAACTCTTCAGCGCCGCTCTCGAGAACGTCATGCTGGCTGATTTCGACTGCGCCTGTGGTAAGGTTGGTCTACAGCTGAACCTAACGAAGACGATGTTTATGAGAAACGGATTGGTTCCTGATGCCCCATTCACGCTCAACGGAACGAACATCACCGAATGCTCCAGCTACGTGTACCTAGGTCGGGAAATCAATATGATGAACGATCTAGCTCCAGAGCTGAGCAGGAGGAAACGAGCGGCTTGGGGAGCGTACAAGAACATCGAGGGAGTAGTGAAGAAGACGAAGAACATCCGGCTCCGTGCCCACCTCTTCGATTCCGCTGTCCTTCCTGCCCTAACCTACGCCTCAGAGACTTGGACTCTGCGCAGGCAGGACGAGCATGCGGTCAGCGTTATCCAACGCGCTGTCGAGAGGACGATGCTAGGAGTAACCCTATACACGCAAGTGCAGAGGGGAATCCGGAGTGCCGAACTACGCCAACGATCGAAGATCAGGGACGCTGCCGTTTTCGCCAAGGAATCGAAGATAAGGTGGGCCGGACACGTCATGCGATTTTGCGATGACCGTTGGACCAGAGCGGTTACCGACTGGATCCCTCGGGACGTCAAACGAACACCTGGACGACCGCCGGCCCGATGGTCAGACTTCTTCACGAAAGCTCTGAACGAAAGGAATGAAGGACTTCGTGTCCCTCGAGCGAAGGAGGATCCACTGGACACTCTTGCACGCGACAGGGACGAATGGAGACGTTGCTGGCGCCCGCTCGAGCAATTCGATGATCAACGGGACGACAGGTGATACAGGTGATTTGCGAGCTCATCACGATCGCCCATGATTCACACTTCAAAATGTGACGCTTATCGTCAGAATCACAGATGCAGACAATGTTCGCCCTTTCCCTTCGTCGCAGGTTCTGAGCTCCGCCAGGAAATTATCGAACTCAGATGAAGGGTGCTACCGGTGAAAATGTAGTTGGGGGGGCCACTCATAATATCTAATCGAACTGACAATATCTAATCGAAGTGGAGCTGCGGAAGGGCGGTCATATCTAATCACCATCCAGAGCACAGTCTCTGAGTGTATGATTAGATAGGGATACCAACTCCGAGATTCCATACAAAATCGGATACCTGAAAGGCCTTCTTCGAGGGCTCGCATGGCAGTCGCAAGAAGGGAAAGTGAAGAGCCAGCAAGGTAGCAGCCATTTTAGCCATAGAATAATATGACAAGGGTAAGCGTACTAGTCGTAGGCCACGGTCTCAGTGAAAGATATGATAAGATATAAGTGCCTTCCCGCAACTCTACTTTGATTAGATATGTGTGTCTTTCCGCAACTCCACTTCGATTAGATAGGGTGCCCCCCCCCGAACTACATTTTCACCGGTGCTACCCTATTCAGCGTATTCGCTAGATTTATCCCTATTGGGTACCATCTCATTGGTGCGCTTAAACATTACATTTGCGAGGAAAATTAAAATAAACTATAGGAATCCGAAAGTAGGATCTCCCTACTCTTTGACTCTCAGCAGCTACAGTTCTGGACCGAGTTCGATATTTTCCTGGTGGGGCTTCAAAACTGCGATGAAGCGTCGTCGTGAAGAGGACAAACTTTCTTTGCATGCTGAGGGATGTGACAGATGGTATCACCTTCTGTAGTTGAAAGCGTGCATCTGGGCGATCACGATGGGTTGCCTCGTCGTTGGACACATGTTGTGGACCAGTATAAAGAACCTACCATGGTTTGATATCCAACTGTGACAAAAATATAAATCATCGAAGTGTAGGTGAAACTTCGATCAGGACTTCTTCTTCAACCTGATATGAAGTTTCCGAACTCCCACTTCCCTCCAGCAAACCCAGAGGGTATGTGAATATTTCGATACCAATGGCCAACGCCCATTTTTCTGTGCGCTTTGCCCAACCAAATCCCTCCAAAAACTACTATTTTTAATTTTTTTCAATGCGAGTAAAAATAGATATTTTTGAGTTCTTGGTAGCTTGACTACCAGCAATGACTTACATTCACCTCCACATTCTTGAAATACTTACAGTGTCAGAATTTTATTTCAGCCTCAAAGGCAGGCATCAGCACTGGATACAAGTTGCAATGGATTCTTGACAAATCGGAAGATTGACACTTTCATTATTTTGAAAGTGGGAGGGGGAATTTGTGAATCTGCGCCTTCTCCGGGAAAAAATAATGAAACATCGAGATGGGGCAAAATCGCTGTTTAAAGTTGTAGAGAGCTCATCTGAAGGAGAAAAGCCCTCCAGGCTGTGC